GATTTTTAAGATGGTGAATCTGATCTCGAAATTGATCTAGAACTGGTTTGGGGGCCAGGATTTGACTATTAAGACAATATTCTTGGTTCTTTTGGTAAAGTCATGTTGAAGGGAAACAATAAAATAATAAAATATATATATAAAACAATAACATATTTTATTATTTTACTGTTTCCCTTCAACGTGACTTTACCAAAAGAACCAAGAATATGAATCACTGCAGTCACGAAAGCTTTAAATAAAAATATTAAGACAATATCCATTAGCAGTCCTATATTGAAACACCTTGTCCTGGCAGAGTTGTCATGACAGTTTTTTGGCGCTGCTTTCACACTGCACAATATGGCCTTCTCCAGAAACCTGGAAAACCTGTTTTGTGCCCACATAAGAAGTGGGTGCATCTTAACCCTATCCCCTTGCAAGACGTATGCAAATTGCAGGGTGGGTTCTGTTCACTAAATTTCGGAAGGCGCAAGCAGTTCACATTAATTTTATTTAGAGAGGCATTTAGCGCCTTGTACTCACCGCAGAGAACTCTAGCGACACGACCTCACTCTAGAATAGCTGGCACTAAACTGTGCCACACACCCTCCCGCATGGCCTTGGGAGCCTCGGTATATCTTCCGACTTGAAGACGTACCGATCAAGATAATTTTTTATAGTTTTTTTCTTTAGATTCCATTCTGGTAACGTACACGTACGTCAGTGAAATGGGAAAAGATTAAGGCACTCCTAACGTGCCTCGCTCACTGTGTGCCCTCCACTGCAGGGTCTATCACGGCCTGGTGAGTTTCGCATCCCCGTTGGTAACGGACAGAGCCACGGAGTGTGCCAGCCCCACTCCAGCGCCAGCCCTCCCACCAAACATCTTGGCAGGTGAGATGGTCACACGATGTAGCATCCCAGCGTCTTGCAAAGGATTTTCTTCTATGAAACCAGTTGATGTGCTCACCTGGGCAGTCGGTTCGGCAATGGAGCAGTTAATGAACCTGCTGCAGGAGGTGAATCGCAGTGGCAGGTGATACTGTTGGGATCTCGTTGTCAGTGGTTCGTAGCAGCTCTGCGCCTGTGCAGAAGACCCCATCCGAGGGGCTGTCGCCCTCCGCCAAACGCGTCTCTCACAAGGGCGGAGCTGCCTCTGGAAACAGCCCCCCCGGCTCCAAGCTACCGGCCGGAACCAGCCCACGCAAGACTGCACGGGACCCCAAAACCGGGAAAGGTCCGTACGAGCACGTAACCTTTTCAGTTTGGTTTTTTAACGACTGTATTCGCATAACCTTTTCCTTGGCATTAATAAAACGTGTTCATCGTTGAGAACTGCCAAGAGCAGGGTTCTTCAACTGATGGGCCGTGTGCCGCATTTGCTTATGGAATGGCCTGCCCAGCTATGGCCTATTGAACGATTTGGCTCACGGAGATGTAAAGAGATACAGATTAGTAAAATTAAAGAAAGAGTTATGAGAACTGCAGGCAAGAGGTAAAATTGTGCTGAAAGTGAGATGAGCAAGAGGGAGGAAAGAGAACTGGTGACAAGAGGTGCACGTTAATGGTGACTCCAGGCATTCTGAAACTAAAGGACAATGTGTATATACGTGACATGATGTCATGTAGCCCCACTAACATGAAAATGTAGCCACTCTACAACATACTCTTACCGAACCTATTATCCCAGATAAGAATTGCATTCGGCATTTTGACCTTCTAGGTGTCTAATGCCCACTCTTGTGACTTGTCTCTACAGCGGTGCAAGAGCGTAACTCGTACGCGGTGAGCGTGTGGAAGCGCGTGAAGGCCAAGCTCGAAGGCCGGGATGTGGACCCCAGTCGGAGGATGACAGTGACGGAGCAGGTACAGGGCAGCGCAGCTCACACCATGGCACCGAATCCAACAGCGAGCCACTTGTGCCACGCAGCATTGCAGCGGGAGGCTTGGCCCTAATAACCCCTGCGTGTCACGTGTTTGGCTCCTGTGTCTGTGTTTACAGGTTGACTATGTCATCAAAGAGGCAACCAGCCTGGATAACTTGGCCCAGCTGTATGAGGGCTGGACAGCGTGGGTGTGAATCAACGTGGAGAACGAAAATCTGTCGGTTCAGAAGTCGGTCGGTCGGCCGTGTGGCCCGCGCTGACCCCACACCCGGCCTCCACAGCGCCCGAGGCTCAGGCTCCTCGGAAGGGGAGGGCGGCGGAGAGCAAACGCAGCCCCCTCTCCCGCCAAGTCGCAGGGAGGTTGGAGGAAAGAGCACCAGGCTGGTGCGGCCTGCTCGTCACGCCGAAGGCAAAACCCCAGAACGCCGAGTTTAGGAAAGCTACGTCTACGAGAGAGGAGTGGAGGAGGCAAAATTGCGATGGGATCGTCGTCGACACGGCAACACGTCCGCTCCCCCCTCCACGTTGCACCCTCTCGCCGTCACCCAGACAGGGGTAGTCCTGCTCAGCCTGAGGTCTTTCTTGGTGCGAAAACTCATTCTGTGATGAGGGGGTGTCCAAGTCATCAAAGACGACTTGCAAAAACCACAAGTGGGAAAACCATGAAAACACCTGCTCAAACAGGGTATATAAAAAGTTATTGCCCTGAAGTGTGTGTGTGGGGGGACGGCAGGCACAGTGGAACAGCAGATCGTAAACAAAAACTTTGCTTTAAACAGGAATCCGTTCACACAGCCCGGTGTGAAACTGGTCGCAGTAGCTGCTGGTTGTGAAGTGGTCTTGTCGAGTTGGTCTGTCCGTGAGTGCAAAAGTAAACCATCCTGTGCTGGGAGTACATCTTGTGGCAGTGATAAAAGGTGGTGCCTGCCGTGAGGAGGCAAAAGCTATTAACGTTTATATAAACAAAAACAAAAAAATATTCGTAGACATTGTGTTTGTATGCGGTACAAAGGTGGTAAATTTCTGATTTTATGTGGTCTCATAGCTTCTTGATGTTAGTGATTGGTAACAGAATGTAACTCGAGCTGTTCGTTGATCTTCGTTTAACTCGCACCAACCCCTCCTGAATCTTGACACTTGGCATATAGAGCACTGTAATCTCCGCGTGATGGTCATGTGGTCGTTACAGCAAGAGCCACCATGTCACCAGCCTTCGTAACAACAGGCATTGGCCACGTGCGTTGGAGTGTTGCCGGAATATGTAGTGCAGCCTCAATGCTTTATCGGTTGTTATTTTATTCCGAGTTAATTTAACAGCTTCTAACACTGTTACAAAGGTTCAAATTGAAATGTATTAAATGTCTCCTAATCTTTTTTTTATTTTAACGCCCCAGTGCAGATGGCGAGAGCTACTAATTAATTCAAGCGCATACACATAGCAGACACTTTATTTACGGATTCATTTTGGTTAAGTTTGAATGGTTTTCAAAACAATTACTCGCATTTTCTGGATTTGAGCGTGTGGCTTGAAGAGCTTAGCAGGCCAATGCTGCATGTCAATTCGTTTTACGTCATCCGTGACTGCCTTTGCTGGTCTTGGTTGTAAGTGGATAACACGTGGGATTTTGTGTAGCGCCTGTCCGTGCTGCGGTAGCCTATAATGCGCGTGTATATGTTCATGGCTTTAATTACGCTTAAATCTGTTTTTACATGTTCAATAAAGGATAATCACATGTACCGACGCGCCAGCTTCCTGGTCTCTTGTGATTACAGTATTGGTGCCTTGTGGAGAATTGGGCAAACAATGCATCACTTATATCTTAGTTCTTTCGGTAAAGTCACGTTGAAGGAAAACAAAATAAAATATATATAAAACAATAAAAAATTCTCACGACGTTTCGACCATAACACAAACGGTCGTCTTCAGGTGTGTCGGTTTGCATAAATTTATTTTTAAACGGTGTATTTATTTATAAAAAAACGTTAGCGCCACGCGAGGCGATTTGGCAGTTTATTTAGGACTAGTCATCTATATTCTGAAAAGAGGAGGGGGGAGACGATTTTTTTAATGTATGCTGTCTGAAAGCCACTGTAAGCGTGAACAATCAATTAAGACCTGAAATGGTTTATCAAATCTTTCAAATGATTGCTAAGATAGAATCCATCTTCTCGGTTGAAATTGTCTCTGTGCTTGTATATGTGGATAGCCTCATGAACGAATCTCTCATGGTAGCCAGATGGCTTACAAAGAACCTCTGTCTTGGAAAAGTCAATGTCATGTGAGCCTACTGAATTATAACAATGATCTGCCACGGCCGAGGTGTTGGTCCTACCGTGTTTAAGGTCTGCTTTGTGTTCACGAATGCGGTCCGAGACATGGGGTTTGGTTTCTCCAATGTAACTACTACCACAGAGGCAACTTAGTTTGTAGACACCAGGGTATTGTATGTCCGGAATCAGACGGAACCAGATCACGGATTTTATGTAATGTGTTGAAACGGACCTGGGTCTTGTGTTTATTCAAGATTTTGGAGATCTTTTTTGTGATCCCCGCAATGTAGGGTAAAGTTATGGTTTTGAAAGGCTCCTCAAGAGGGTCCTTCTTCATGGTTTGAGTGATAGCTTTGCGGATTGTATAGTCGGAGTAACCATTAGCCTTTAGAGCTTGGTGTACGTGCTTGAGTTCACTGCCTATGTGTTCCTGGTCGGATATGCATTGGGCTCTGATACAGAGTCTTGATGAGAGAATTCTTCTGTGATGGATGGTGGTGGGAATCCGGTTTCAGATAAGCATCCGTATGGGTAGCTTTCCTGTAATGCATCACTTAGTCTCCCTCCTGTGATTAAAGTAAAACAATGAACAACTACATTTTCAAGGCAAGGCTTTATAACGGGGAATTGGAGGTTTACTACAACACGTCCAGTTTGACTACCACTCGATGCCGGGCTACACATTTAGCTGGGAGATGGTACCCCCTGCGGTAGATGCAGCATGGACTGCTCCACCCCCTGCGGCCAATGTTTCCAGGCGAGACTGTACCACTCGCAGGGGGGGTGCTACGCGCGGACTTGACCACTCACGTGCGGGGGGGGGGGGTGTACTGAGCCGTTGGACTCGTGACGTAACTCCGCCGCTCTGTGATTGGCTGCGCGGCGAGAGCTCTGAAGGCGCAGTTGGGGTGTAGGCGCGGAGGTCGTGGCCGAGGCGTTTTATACTTCTCCCTTTACAGCTCCGTTTGCTCGGCTGCCGCGTTGCACTTTGAGACGCAACAACGATGGCAACGGCCGGCATGGAGATCAGCAAGGAGAACCTGCTGGTGAGCGAGCGCCGCGGTTAAGGCTGAGAGGGCGCGTGCGGGAAGCGGGCCGAAGCCACCGGATTTTCCTAGTCGCCACGCCCAGGACAGGCGCAGATTTTCGGGCAGCGTGGGAATGCCAACCTTGGAGGGTGGATGGTGGGGAGGGCGGTCGAGTCTGTCTCTCTCCGCCCTTGCAAATTAAAAAGACGCGGCCCAATTAAAATCCTATTATTTTGTGGGGTGGAATGCGTCTTGAGACGAGTGTCGTTGCCCGTCGTACACGAGTGAAGCTCTTGTGAGAAATGCGTGCAGTCTTTTTTTTAAAGCTATTTTACAGACGTCATTGCGGGTGTTACTCCCCGTGGTTTATATATTTTAACAAAAAAAATCCACGTCACCGCAGTTTGTGTCTGTGGCGTTCTCGCCGCCTTGGGGAAAACATTAATCTTGTTTCAGTTTGTGGGTGTGTAGCTACCCGGGCGCGGTAGCTACAAGGTGACTTTATATTTTTGTGTTTTTCTGGCCCGCGAACGAACACGTACGGGACAGGGCCTTGCGCTGCAGGCGGCGGCGATTTTCGGTTCCCGTTACGTCTCGCAAGGGGCGCGCGATTTGCAAAATCGCAACAGCTGTGGGTTATTTTTACTGCATTAATCATCCAATCCCTGTCGTATGAAATGCTCATTATCTCGCGGTTAATTATACTCGTCCGTGGTGTGTGGTTGGGTGACCATGTTATGATTAGTTATGGTTGACTGGAGTGTATGGTTTTTTTTAACGTGTGTGGTTTAAAATAATATTTGACCACATTTTGTGTGGTTGAGTACGGTGTATTAACCGCGGTGTACGGTTGAATGTGATGTGTGGTTGATACCGGTGAGGTCAATAGCTGGGGAGGCACTGGCACGTGTGAGAGGCGTGGCCTCACTGAGGGGGCGTGGCCTCACTTAGGGGGGCGTGTTAGACACGTACCCCTCTGAGGCAGATGTGATAGCTGCCTCTTCTGGTGCTTTTTCATTGCAGTTTCATGACGATACCAGCGAGCCTAAATATCTTTATACACATACGTGAAATAAGTTACCTGGAGTATGGAAGGCGAGGACATGAAATGAAGGGGTCTACAAACATGGCATTGGTGACACTGAGATAGTAACAGGCATGCGCTTATTGCCCGCGCTCCATCCAGTTACTGGGGGGTTGCACAATCAGAGGGGAGGCTGAGCTCGTTGCTGCCTCACCTCGTCTCTTCCTGTATTTGCAGCGGAGCTCCGCAAATTTGGCGATTTTGACTATAAAAATGATTGGAATCGTACAGAAATTACATTTATAACACAGATCAGTGGAAAAATCTTAATATTTATTTTGATTATTTTTTTTTCGTAACAGCTATTTTCATTGGAGTATGACAGGTGAGGCTTTGCCTCCCCTAACCGCACGTCCCTGGTTGATACCGATTGACCGTGGTGTATGTGGTCGATAGTGGGTTGACCGTGGTGGTGCACGACGAGTGTGTTGTGCGTGGTCGACAAAGATTAACAAGTGATGTCCGTGGTTGCCCTCTGGAGGCGGCAGAGACGGCGCGGCTGGAGGAGCAGCTGCAGCGCTGGGGGGATGTGCTGGTGGCGGCAGAGCGCGCCCTGCGCTGGGAGAAGCCCGTCTACCCCGTGGCCATCGCCGGGGCCGTCTCCCTGCTTTTCCTGTACGACCTTTCAGCACCCACTCCTTGAGCCATGCTTTAGTAATTGGCATAATGTCATTAAACTGTATCCCTCCCCTACCAACAAGTTGGGAATTGTAGAAAAATCTGTTGTTTTGTGTGCTTTATGCTTCCACGTCTCTGTGTCCAGCTTTAAACCGGCATTGACCAGCGTGAATATGGTTAAGTTACCGCTACGACCCACACTGCCATGTGTGGGCAGGCCTTCATCCAGCAATGTTTTGACAAAAGGGCTGTACATGTGTTTGTTATTTATCTAGCCGTTTTTTTCATTTATTATGTTTCTGTATTGGGCTGTTTGGCAACATTTTTTTTACATTTATTTTATTAATTGAACATAACCTACTTCTAAATATAAAGCGTATAGCTATAGTATTCGAAGTTTAAAGAGCACCAGTGTGGTCTATAGCAAAGTTTATGCACAGCACAATTTAGTTTGTTGTTCTTGCCCCGCACCTCCGATTAGCACGGTTGGCTACGTACGAAAGAAGTTCAACGTACATACAATGCAACTGTGCTGCAGCGGTTGTTGGACTAATGCTTCATGTAATATTCACAGGGTGATTTACTGGCTGGATCCATCGCTCCTCACTGGGGTCTCCACCTTTGTGATGACGCTGTGCGTTGTGGATTTCTTGCTGCCCACCCTCACCTCCAAGTTCCTCAGCCCAAACCATTGGTGAGCTCATTGTTCCCCACTTAGGTCAATTCAAGTGTTGACACAACAGTCTACACAGCAATTGAATGGGTTGTGGTCATTACTGCTCTTCCACCTTGTCTGGAACTATCTCTCTGTGGTTGTCCATACGACGATTTCCCTGTTTAAGTATTCAAATCCAGACTCAAGACCCCTTTATTGAAGTTCATGTTTCTATGTTCTTACTACATAACACCAATACCTGTTCATCTTCTCTGCCCTGTAATGCCTTATCCCCTTCAACCAAACATCAATTATGAACCTAGTGTGCTTGCTCCATTTCTGTGCAGTATCCTGAGATATGGCTGCATTCAGACACATCATAAATCCACATTCCAATTGTAATTTACATTCGATGTTATTTTCATGATTTTTGAGGATTTTCCACCTTTGTGTGACTGCTGATGCAGAACTGAAACTTAGTTTGTGCTTTTGCCCCTCCCCAGGACCACAGACAAGCAGCAGCACTTCAATGATGTGTGCAAGCAGCTGGCAAACCTGCGACGTAGGCTGTATGGCTGGGGACTCCGGCTGCAAGACCTGCGCGAAGAGAAGCCTCTCGTGGTAAACACAACTGTTTCCTCGGCGTACAAACGTCTGGAGTTGTGTACTTGCGTATTAACTAAATGCTGAGAACAGTTAACGTAACAACATGAAGGAGGAAAAGGGACCAAGCGAGGGAAGGAGAGAAGACGAGGTGTGAAAGCACGGTTCAAGAGGAAAGTTTGGAGGAGAGACTTGCATGCAGACAGAGGACCAGCCAGTTGCCTTGCGAGAGAGTTCAAGAGGTTAGGGAGGGGGGTGGGGGCAGCAAGGAGGGCAGAGCCCATTGAGCTGTGTGCAGGCGAATGTATGAATGATGCACGTCTGCAGAAGCCTCATTAAACACATCCATTGTGCGAGATTTCACGTGATATCTGACCGTTCGTATTACATACTAAAGTAAGATGCATTGCTTTACCTCTTGTTCATTGGTGTTCAGTACCTGGCCACTGTGACCGTGGGCCTGCTTGTTTTGGCGTGGATCGGGGAGCAATTCCATAATCTACTCCTGACCTACATGCTGGGTGAGTGGTTGTGTACAATACTTGCCTCGGGCATTTACAGTGACTTTGAAGTTGCTATGACAGTGCTCCTGTAGATAATTAAATATATAGATACTGCTGGGTTAGCGGGTCATCCAGGATATTCCCATCATAGCCATGATCAAACCAGTACTGGATAAATACCTCCCCAAGCCATCACCATGTCCCGTGATCCTCCGATGTTATGGAGTTTAACGAAGAACTTCATTTGGTATACGTACATAAAATAAGTGACATTTCACCAAGTGATTACTGCCTGCTGACTTCACGTGTGCTATAGACAAGTCTCATGCTCTCTCCCTTTCTGGTTTGTGCTGCAGTCATGTCCTTGCTGCTGCTGCCTGGCCTTAACCGCCACGGCGTGCTTAGCAAGTACGTGGGCATGGCACGTGACAGGATAAACACACTGCTGAAACGCAAGGATGCCAAGCGTGAGTAAAGAATACCGGCCAAGGACTCCTGCCCAGCCTCCCCCACGCAGCTTCTGCAGCTTATTTTCATGTTAAGCCATTATCAACATTCATCCCCAGTCATCGCCACGCGTAACATTCGTCAAGAAACGGGACATCCCAGTGTCTGATGAGAAAGCCTTGTGACCCATAGCTTAGACCTTGCTAGAAAGTTTTTTGAATGGTGTGTGTGCAGTTTAATTTGTTTACCAAAGATGTACGGTGCATGCTAATTGTGAGTCGTAAAGTGTAGCACGTGTAACTTTTCAGGTAGGTTTTGGCTGTTTTGTATTTTCTGTAGCTGGATTTGCCCTGAGGAATTGTTTATCATCCAACATTTCAAGGCAGTTGTCACACAACAGATGGCATAAAGTCAGACAAAAGCCATCCAATCTGAAATGCATTGAATTTACTACTCAGTGCTAATATACTGTACGTGGTGATGTAATTTAATTTGCTTTCGCGAGTGTCCATATTGCGCACCACTTTTGCAGTGCTGCTCACGCGATACGAAATTCTTGAGCTTCTTTTTTAATCGCACAACAGTTTTACTATTAATATTGCAGAAATCAAGTGAGCTTGTTAAATCATTTATCAAAAAGCATGGTTGTTATAGTTTTTTTTTTATCAATCATTTATCGCATCACATTAAAAGTTTCGTGAATGTTAAATTGCCTACGTTCTCCTGTCTCGACGTGTGGTATTGGCAAGCAGCTCTTGGATTTTTCAATAAAGGTATAAAGTGCAAGTGCCATTGGCTTGGCTGAGTGTTGGCCAAGGTCATTAGGACTGGTTGCCAGACGGCTCCTGCCTCGTGTGCAGCCTCTGCTGTTGCAGGATGATGTTGCCCGACACCCTCTGCGTCTGCCGGGTGGGTTTCCCAGAAACCACCTCTCCTGCAGGGCAAGAGATGACGTCACATGTGTGCTTGCACAACAGAGGGAGCTGCTTAAATAGTCAAATTGGTTTTGTTACTTTGGATTTATATTTATTCTTCTGCTTATGACTGACTGTCTCTAATATAAACGCCATTTTTTTTGTAGTGTCTTGAGATGCAGTCACAGCGGCTATATGAATCAAAATTATTTTGTATAATTGTATTTGATAAACATGAGATATCTCTAGGGCTGTCCTGGGTTAAAGATATGAAGTTAAAACAGCATGAGCAACACCAATTTGAACAATGAAAAGTATTTAAAATAAATAACTTGGGTGAAGCAGCACAGTTTTAATGTTTTCCAACGAAGCTTGAAAGGTAATGCATACATTTTATCCATCTCTATATAACATGGGGTCAGGATATCCATTATAAAGATCGTATAGAAATACATTTTTAATATAATGTTAGGTTGCTATGAGGGATATAGAACACCGGCCCATTTATAAGGGGATTGCCCAATAAAAAGGCGACGATGTAAAATTTCGTACACCATGTGACATCTCATGCAGCTCGGAACGTAAAGTTCTTGCTATTTGTAGGACAGAAGCATGTCTACGCGTGACTTTTCTTGATATCTGCTGGCGCACAACTTTCAAAGTGGAAGACACGTACAGGAAAGACTTAAGCGTGAGCCTTGACATGCTGGCAGTGGTCGCGCAAGTGTTAGCCTCACCCGTGAGGATATTGTGCTGGTGCCGTGGGAGAGGAAGGCCTGCGCTGGGCGTGCGAACCGGCGTGTCGCCGTGGCTGTGCATCACCGTGTAGGTGGTGTGGTACGGAGGTGCCCACCGCTGCGGGGTGGTCACCGTCCACATGTCCACGCCGGTCGTGTTGTGCTGCCAGTTTTTGATGCCAGCTCGCCGAAGCACGTGGTACTAGGGTAGCACATTTTGAAGTTGGAAAGAAAGTTGACAAACACGAGGTTTTAGAGGTGTTTTCAGTGTCATGTGATGAGACAAACTATCCATTCACAACCTTCCATATGAGAGAATGTTCCAAAGAAATGGGACTGCTGTCATCCCTGATATCCCTTAAAATGACGTCGTATCCCCACAGCAGAGGAGCACTTTCTCATCTGCCTGATACAGAATGTTCATGAAATTACACTCAAACTGATACATTGATTCTCCTAGCTGAAATTGAGACATTAATTGCAGAACAAATTTTGACCTGATGGATTTTTTTTGCTTGAGAACCTTATTTAATCACAGATGGCTGAAGCATAGATTCAAACCAAGGATCTCAACGGTGCCAGCTTAGTACTCTGACCTCTGAGATAATGGGTTGTAGAATCCCACGTGCTTATACCAATGCTTTACCGCACACCAAGGTGAGCTGCTTGGGCCTGAACTCCTCCCAGTTGTGGGTGCGTGGAGGGTGGTCGGGTAGCCCGGCCGACAGCTGAACGCTGGAGTGGTGGTGCAGAGATGGAAACATTCCCGGCCGTGGCTGGGCCGGCAAGGGACGCTCATCCCAGCTTCTCCCAGAGTAGAACTGCATACCAGACACAAGTAGACATGACAACTCGTGCAAGGAAGCTATGCACGTAAGCACGTGAATGTAAACATTGTTGGTGCTGGCAATGGTGATTCGTTTCCAAGTAAGAGATAAAGTCGGACTGCACGAGAGCTTGGGTTCCAGGTGTGTGACCATGCACCACCACGCACCCACAGGCTGGCAATGAGGATTTTGATGTTGGAGACCAATGCAGAAACATGCGTTAAGATAGGATTATTTGGCTCCTATACATTTCCACATGATAAACTGCTTCGTTGAGCTATCATTTGTTGAAAGGTCACTTCTGAAAAATAAGGTCGTAGCTCACTTGGCTTTACTTGGTAAAATAAAAAAATATTTTGGTTGTGTTTAAATATATTTTAAAAGTGATTTGCTTATCTTTCCCATACTATGCACTCCTATCGTGCTTCTGTATTGTTGTAAAGTTCTGACCTGCATTTATTGGACATCTGTGAAAAAGAGCTTCATAGCTCATCAGATTCCTCTAGTATAAATAAACATTCTGATTCTGGTCTCGTGGCTTTCGGCCTCGACCTTGCACTTCCTGGGTCCTGGCCGTGAATTCATGACTGCCCACACTCATGCCCGCATGTGCCCACAACCGCGGGACAAAACAGGGCACCCACATGGCGATGGCTGGTGCGGAACTCCTGTCCCAGCGACGAGCCCCCAAGCGAGAGGGTGGAAGCGTGCATGGGCCGCGCTCCCCGCCGCTTCCCCTTGCCGTCCGCGAGCCCCGGAGGTCCGCGCGACCGGTTCGACTTCGCATCCTCCAGCAGCAGCAGCCACGAGCCCGAGTCCGTCAGCGCCGCGCGGGTGCTGCTGCCAAGCCCGGCGGCGCAACGCGGCCTCACGGCTCCACCGCGGCCTCCCTGCTGCTGCAGCGGCACCGACGATGGCGGCAGAGCAGGATTGAGGATGAGGTTGGGGGTCACTGCTCTCCAACTATGTATGTTGAACTTCTTTCGCATCGTATGTAGCCAACCACGCTAAACACAAAGAGCAGTTCTCAAGAAATGAGTTTTCAATCCTGATGATTTAAATAGTGCCATAGCTCCAGCGGCTGCCTAATATCGGATGAAAGAGCGTTCCAGACGGCCGCAGAAGCGCATCTGCAAGCAGCCAGGACAGCGCCGCGCGGGTTCCGTCACGTGCCACATCTAGTCCAGTAGATGTGGCACGTGACTGCGGTAGTCCCTCGGTTAACATTTTTAATCCGTTCCGCAGAAAACTACCGTCGACCGAAACAACTGTTCATCGAATTACACGGAAGAAAAACAATTATTATGGAAAATACGAAATTGTTTGAACAAACTCAACTGTAATAGTACTTTTGATTTAAAGCTTTCGTGACTGCAGGGATTCATATTCTTGGTTCTTTCGGTAAAGTCACGTAGAAGGAAACAATAAAATAAGAAAAATATAAAACAATAAAATTCTCACGACGTTTCGACGTTTTGACGTCGTCACACATCGTCACAAATGTCTGACCCCCCCCCCCAGGTGCGTGACGTCATTTATGGACGGCCCCTTACCCCGACAGACCCGGCTGAATTTCGGCCCTGCCCTTGGGACCCTTACCTTGGATGCCCTTCCATCGTCTCTTCCCAGCTCCCCCGTGTCCATGTCTCCTCTCTCTGCTCCCTGGTTCTCCTGCCTCCTCTCTCCCAGATCTCCCTTCTCCCTGGTGTCCCTTCACTCCCTGGGACCTCGTGCTCTGTCCCTGGTCTTGCGTGCTACCATAAACACCAGAAACCCCACTGCTCCTTGATCTGAGACCCTGGTCCCACGTCTCTCCCCCTTCTCTCTCTGATCCCTTCCCTGTCCTCTCTCCCGTGCACCCTCTCTCTCGCTCTACCCTAGCTATTCACCTCCTCTCCCTATACCGTCTCCCTTCCCTGTCTACCGTTGCCCTTGCTCTTGCCTCGCCGCCTCTTCACTCACCTCTTCCTCTCTGTCCTAGATCTATCTCTCTCCCGTACTCTCTCGCTGCTCCACTCTTCCGATCTCCCCTTCTCTGCCCCGTCTGTTGTCGCTGTTGTCAGGGAAACCGGACGCGCACACCGCCCCTCCACCTTCACCCCCACCCCACAACTCTATAAATTAATCGATTCATTAATACCTCGTGGGATGGAGGGTGAGCGCTAACTCACAGCCCTTGTCAATCTACTGCTGGATGATGATGGCAGTAGTGACGGATTGTGAAAAAATAACTGGGAACTCCCCACGCCGTGTTTGATGGGGGGGGGGGGGGTCATTTGACCATACTTCCCCGCGCGGGTCAGTGCAAGTCGGTGAAGTTCGGGTGTCGCTCGCCACTGATGTTAACCGTGCTCCGGGAATCAAACTAACAGCCGGATTCATTGCGCTCACCACAGCGCCACCGCTCCTGTCTGAATAGGCAATCTACGATTAATCGATTAATACGATTCTCTCGTTCACGATTTCAAATCGTGCGTGTTGGCGATAACTTTGTCTGCGTGCAGCTGTGCCGGTTATCACGCGACGATTCCTTTAAGGCAGCATCCACGCTCACCCCCAGCTCAGCCCGCAAAAAATTATAATCGATTAAGTAATCTAATAAATTATAGGAATCGCGGGAGATCGATACGTTCCGAATCGATAGCGGGTGTGCTCGTGACGTCACGGGGACGGTGACCGCCCCCCTCCTCTCCCTCTCTCCCGTGATGCTTCGCGCGCCCCTCGGCCTCTCTTTCCGCCATCGCTGAGGCGCGGTGAGTACCGCGGTCGCCATCCGCTTCGCATCGCGGCCATCCTGGGGTCGGCGTCGCCTCCCGCGCACCCTCTCGCTCCCCAACACCTCGGCGCGGCGTCCGCGCGGCGAATGGGCGGCCCGATGAGGCCGCGGAGAGCGAACGACGAGCCGAGAGCGGCGGCGGATGGCGGCGGGGGGAGGGTGGCGGCCGAGCCACCGCCGGCGCTGGGCCGTTTGAGATGGCGGCGATGAGCGCGCGGGGTGGTGGTGGTCGCGGCTCTACCCCAATGCCTCTCCGCTGCTGTTCCTACAACTCGCTGTTCCTGCTTCCCGTGGCGAGGGGGTGGACAGCGTCTCACCTCTCCTACGTCCCTCGCACTACCCCTCCTCCCCCATGCGTTTCACTGTCCGCCACCCACCTCCAACCCTGTCTCCTTCCCTGCTGCACTTCCTTCACCTCCTTGCTCTCACCGCCTGTTCTCGTCTCTGTCGCCACCCGCCTCCTCCTCCTCCGCCACTCGGGGCTTGATTTCTCACTCGGGGTTATTCCTCCCGGCTCGCCTCGGTCGGCTGGAGTTAGGCCGCACGTGAGCCATCGGCCATAGCGATGTAGGGGGGGGGCAGTATCGTGCCACTGGATGTGTGGTGATGCGTCCACAGCTGCAATGAAGAAGGCCTTGGCGCGCCGCACGTGTTCGCTTCCCTATCGGCCTGGTGGTGGTGGCCGCCACTTGTAGTCGCTTACGAATCTGCTCCGCTCTCAGCCATTTCGTTTGCGTGCTAGTGCTCCACTTTCATACCCATGCGAGTTGAGCCGCTACGATCTGCGTGTCTTTGAAGTGAGACTCGCGCGCCCTCCCCCCTTCACCCCACACTGTTCGGTTCTTACGTATTGGCAGCAATGTGTCCATGGGCTTAATTCTAATGTCCGAGGTCTGCTAGCCACGAGAGGGGCTTCGGGAGAACCTTGGTGTGATTTTGCTGTTCCTCTCCTGTTGACGGAGCTATAGTTTGGGTTGTATAGACGCAGTCGCATTGCTCTGGCGTGTCCTGTAATTGATCTCTTGAATCTATGTACCTCAGTTTCTGGGCCTCTTCTTTGAGTCTGTATGTGAGTGTATTTCTGGATGGGTTAGTTCAGTAGGTCGACTCGGCCTCAAATGAGTACGTGGTGCGATGCGTAAACATTGCCACTAGGTTACAAAGACGGCCGGGCGTGGTGCTGGTCACCCACCCCCTCGTGTGGTCTGTACTGGCTCATAGGTGCTCGCTAAGGGACTTTCTCTTAGTCTTAAGGCTATGCGGGGGGGGGCGTTAACTGTGGTGCATGGTTGGGATTGTATGGCCACCCCGTTGATGAAGATGTGGTTCAGCATCCACCTCTTGATGGCCTAATTCGGTTAATTGTGACACGAGTGTTTGAGAGGAATGTCAAAGCCAGGAGATGCGATATTTGTCTCGAATTCGTTTTTAAACCCAGAGATCCAAACATCGCACCTCCAATTAAAATGCTACTAGCATGGTGCTGCGGGTCACGGGGGTGCATTGCTTTTGAACACGTGTCTCCCTCCTACCCATGTGTGCGTGCAGCCCCCTGCAGGCAACATGGTGCGCATGAACGTTCTGGCCGATGCGCTCAAGAGCATCAACAATGCCGAGAAGCGTGGCAAGCGGCAGGTGCTCATCCGGCCCTGCTCCAAAGTCATCGTCAAGTTCCTCACCGTCATGATGAAGCACGGTGAGAGCCCCCCCCCCATGCCTACATTGGTAATCAATCCACTGCTAAATGAGGGAGCGGTTTGGGACAGGGGTGCCAGGTATCACAAACACGCAATGATGAGACATAATCTGCGTTCTTCGCTGATTTCTGATGACCTCATGTTTATCTGAGCGTGGTCACCTATAGTTTGTGCGGATGTATTTTTTTTTCAGTTGTGTAGCTTCGCGTGTGATCGCTTTTGTAAGTTTGTGGCGAATGGTTGCAAATGTAGGTACATTCTGCTCCACATGAAATTTATTTGGTTTCCTCTGTCCCGTTGATGTCTGGAATTATTGGCTGTAAATAATTTTACAGCTAATAATTTCAAAGTAATTATCTTGCAGTGCTAATGATATGTACATTACAGCTCTGTGTCAGGCCACTGCTGGATGAGGCCCTTACCCCATGCAGTTGCAGGTCATGGAGGTTATTTGATCATACTTCACGCGAGTCAGTTATGAGTTAAAGGCAGGGGCTGCATAAGATGTGGGATCAGAGATGTACTGCACAATTACTGATTTTCCCACCCTGACCACTGCTGGCCTCCACACAGCTCCACAGCCTGTAACAACCAGGCATTCATCGTGGTCACCCACACCAGCACTCGGCAGTCTCAAGCCTGCTTTGCTTCTGAGATCAGACATACTCCAGTTGAATTGTCATAGGCCATGATACACTAGGTTATTTTTTTGGCACCAATCGCATTTACTGTGGCAATTTGGTAGAGCCGTGGAGTGTCGGCGTTGTGTATAGCCAATGACGAGGTTTGCTTCGCACAGTGGTCTACAAGAGCACACGAACTTGTGACCTCTGTCTTTTATCTGATTGGAAGTTGTCCACCCAGTGGTCAAATTGGTCTGGGTGTATTCAGTTATATATTTTTTACAACAGACGACAATGTGGCCACTATTCCAAGTGAAGTAGTAATCTCCCAAGCATATCACTGTCTTAAACACCATGGGAACTAGTGTAAACTGAAGGGGGGGTCTGTGGGTTTGCCATTTACCAGCGAATGTGGATTTATATCTAAGCAGGACTGCATAACAAGTTGCTGTACATTAAGTCAGTTTGTTGAGACAATCGTAATCAGACGACAACCTGAATGCTCTTGAGACTACACCTAAATGGGCAGGGAGTTGACAGCACAGATAACTGGGGGAATGTCGGCGTTGTGTATAGCCAATGACGAGGTTTATATCTCTTGGATGCAGCACTGTAGTGTACTTTGTAATTCATAAAAAATGTTCTCTTATTTCTGCAATGGCTTTTGCACGAAAACATCTCTTTTATATTTTCATGTGTTAAGTGATAGAGGCTCCAGAGACTTGCTCTCATTGATGTCTCTGCTCAACCAGGTTACATTGGAGAATTTGAGATCATCGACGATCACAGAGCAGGGAAAATTGTCGTCAACCTCACCGGCAGGCTCAACAAGGTAAGAGGTGGACTTTGGTTGCATTACAACTACAGCCACGTTTTAATAAAGTAACAATTTACAGCTACGTCAATGCTAGTGGATAAAAGCCTGCTGTCAGCTACGGGTGGGGTTTGGATTTTACTTCACGCTGGTCAGTGTGTTGAAGTTGGCCCTGGACCGGTTTGGATATCACACCCCACTGCTGTTAGCCATCGCTGGGAATCTAAGCCATGTCACCAGATTCATAGTGCAGTGTGCTAACAACTATGCCACAACTTCACATTTTAGAATATACAATGTGTTTTTTTTAACTCTCTTAAATTACTAAGAGTGGGAATATTTTCTAATGAGACCCAAGGTCAAAATCGGTCTAGAGTTTATTTGCTGATACAAATGCTGATGAATGTTGGTCTGGAAAGGCAGAATGCTAATGGGGTAAAAGTAGCGTTTTTTAATCTACGTCAGGGGTGGGGAACGTCCGGCCCGCGGGCCATATAGGGCCCGCGAAATAATTTAATCTGGCCCTGCCAAGGCAACCGCAGGCGGGATTCGAAATTCAATAAATCTAGGAGCAAACCTGGAAAATCAGTTGCAAGTAGCAACATCATCAATACCAGCTAACATCACATGCCTCACCAAAGAGAAGCAGTTCCAGCCATATCATTAGGGGTGAGTTAATTAGAATGTTTGACCAAATATAACAGGCACATTTTTAAGTTGATAATTTTGTATGGCCTACGAATGATGTTATAAATATCCAAATGGCCCCTGGCAGAAAAAATGTTCCCCACCCCTGGTCTACGTAGAGACACTGAATGGCATTCTGCTTAATTACGATTTTACCCATAATTCTCCCAAGATAATGCTTTACAAGTTGTTGTGCAGCCACACAGTAGTAAGGCCATAACCAATGGCGACGGTGTCTTTCCTTTAATGCAGTGTGGAGTCATCAGCCCCAGGTTCGATGTGCAGATCAAGGACCTGGAGAAGTGGCAAAACAACCTCCTGCCCTCCAGACAGTTTGGGTGAGTTGGGACTTCTTTTGGCAAGGTTGGCTAAGTGAGACACGAAATAAGTTCTATATACATACATTGCTTGACTTGCTTTAGTATCTTAAGTATTTGTCCTGCTGGCCCATGGTCCCTTGAGCATGTAGGATTTCTGGCCACATTGTGAGGGTAATTTGCTTTGTTGTAGCAGAAGTATAGTTGTAGTCTGACTAACCTAGTTACTAGTTTAATTGCGTGGTTTTAAAGTTTTTATGTAGGCTACTATTTATATACAGGGTCCCTTGGTTTTTTGATGGGTGTATAAAACAAAGTTTGAGCAATCTTTCCCCTGCTGTATCATCATACAAGTCAAACATCGATCTACAGCATTGATGAAATCTTGTTTAGACCAATGTGATAGTGTTGCAGCTGCAATATTTGTGTGGGGTGAAACAACAGCACGTTTAGATTGAGGAGCAACTTGAAGAGACACGCAATGATGAGACATAATCTGCGTTCTTCGCTGATTTCTGATGACCTCATGTTTATCTGAGCGTGGTATTTTGCTCGTTTTACATCTGTTTGTGGTAAATTTGTTGCACATTTAGGTACATTCTGCTCAACTTGAACTTTATTATTCTCCTGTTCTACATTTATTTTTGTACCATTTCAAACTTGTTTTGGGGATTATGGAATTAACTACATTGTCACTGTTGCGCAATCTAAAAAAGCTATTCTACTGCAGTGTTCATTATGGGCACATCGCAGCCCCTTTATCAAGCCACATTGCTGGATGAGGGCCTCCCCATGCTCTGGGTCTTGTGGCTTATTTGACGATACGTCACCATGCTGGTAGTTGCATTTGGTGAAAGCAGACATTGAAGCAGAGAAATACAGGAGAACATCTACGTTGAACTTCGTATGTTGAACTTCTTTCACATCATACGCAGCCAAATGAGACCAATTTTAATGCCGTCCACTACGTTGCCCTGTAACGTTTAACAATGGTTTGTGCATGGTGGCCACCCATCCAAGCACTATCCAGGCTCAACCTGCTTAGCTTCCAATATAAAAGCCCAGGTGTATTCTGGGTTATTTGGTTATAGGCAGAACTGTTCACGGTCATAGTTTGTATTGGCCTGGTTTTTGCTCTTCAGGGTCCGTGTTACCCTCTGCTTGTTCCTGACTCTGATCACTTCTCTCTCTCTCCGACAGCTACATTGTGCTGACCACGTCTGCTGGCATCATGGATCATGAAGAGGCAAGGCGCAAACACACAGGAGGCAAAATCCTGGGCTTCTTCTTCTGAGCCGTCCGTGCACTGTGTGGAACAGAATAAACGTCACCATTTACAACTCTCCTCTCTCGTGCGTGCATTTTAACTTATACTGGCTGCTGTTGCGATGATCGAGCATAAACCATCGCGTGAACGCCTGGTCATCCTATAAGTGGCTTTTGGCTAGCCACCGAACAAAAATCAGTCACTGCATCCGCCGCATGTTTTCAGATGCGCTTTTGCAGCCGTCTCGAATGCTCTTCCGATATTAGGAAGCCCATTGGAGCTTTGCTAAATTCATCCAAACTAATTTCTTTAAAGCTGCTTTTTGTGTTTAGTTCTTCCCCGGCACCTCCGATTAGCACGGTTGGCCACGGACAGTGCGAAAGAAGTTCAAATCAAACTTTAATCAAAGTACTAGAGTGGTGCCCCGGAGATCGAACTTAATTCGTTCCAGAAGGCCATTCGAACACCGATTTGTTCGAACACCGAATTAATTTTCCCCATAATTAATGTAAATGACATTAATTTGTTCCAGACACAAGAAATCTCTCAAAGCATTTTTACACGAAGTTTACAGTAATTACATGCATAAAATAAAAATAATAAATAAATGGAATAAATGAAGAAATATATGGAATAAATTTACATTTAACTTCACTTTATCTGTAGTAAGGAGAGTTGATGGCTTGAGTGGAAGGTGGTGAGGAGGTGTTATTGTTTGGAAGGAGAGGCCCCTTTGGGCAAGGGTCATGCACGCTGCTGGCCATACGTGTCTCAGCTGTGTACAGGTTCTTTTCAAGTCGCGATTGCCCGTTCGACCTCCGAATTTCGTTCGGTTTCCGGGGCAAAAAATGTTTGGAAATATCGTTCGAACACCGATTTGTTAGAGTTCGAGTGCGTTTCATCTCCGAGGTTCTGTTATTTAAATGTATTTCGAGATGTTAACTACCTCACCTGGTATGTGGAAGAGTTCGATCCCAGCCCTGAAGTCTATATTTGGAGTTCTCCCTGTGGTTGCATGGATTTTTCTCCAGGTCTTCCAGTTTTTCCCTCCCCATTTAGAATGGTTGTCACACCTGATGATGATTGCTTGTGTTGCAATCGAAACGTGATTTATTTCTATTTTCATTTATTTTTTCACCTACGTGACTTTACCGAAAGAACCAAAGAGTAATGAACATGTGTTTATAGAGTATTTGGCTGCTACAACTTTCCACTATCAGCCACTTCCTTGAGCTATAATTTATGGCCAGGTCGCTCCTGAATAAAAGCAATATAGATCAGTGGGCCTTGCCTTTTAAAATAAATAGTTTAGTAATTCAGGGGGTATACACAGCTAAAATTAATAAGCTGTTGTAAAAACATTGCAAATAAATCCGGATTATGGCAATAACGCAAGCAATCCTTGGCGTGAAGTGACCCAGTGAGTAATATAGGCACATGGAATGTTTCCACCTAAACAAGCAATGACATACTTTTTACAAAACTATTTTGGGGTACATGCAATAACATAGCATTCTTGTGAAGAAGTTCGGCCATTGGACAGTAAAAAGATGGCTCGAATCATTTCTCAATTTCACAAGCAATACAAACTAACAGATTAATGAGAGACCGTAACTTGAAGGAGCTGTTACAACCTGAAAATACAATGCAGAATACAAACGTGCACAGTTCACGTATTAACACATTCCTTTGACGATTATGCTTTGTATACGAATCGACCACCATTAGATCACATTCCATAACCCATACCACGTGCCCCTTCCGTCACCTGACTTCTCACAGCGTTTGCAGGCACTTCTCTGCTCCAATATCTCTTAACCAGAACATCCCCTGCTGCAATATCTCATCACCCACACTGCCTCCCTCTTGACTCAATGCTAGGCGAGTAGGCACCTGTTCCTCTACCGAGCTGTGGGCTCATGGCCAATGTATCCGAGTCTTGGTTCTAACGCGAGCCTCGAAAACAGGGGCGCTTGTTACTTTTATACACAGGTCACCTTCCTTGACCCCCATCTAGACTTCTGTATTCTTAAGTGTCCCAGATCAATGCACCCTTTACAATTCCCACCACTCAACATTTGTACCCTTGGCAACTGCTGCTATGTCGCTCTAAAGCAGGTGCAGAGCAGGGGACGACCCCCGCATTTACAGAGCGCACGTGTACTCCCAACGTTGCGCTGACATTCGTCCAACGGTTCCAACCACATGCCACCCGGTGGCCCAATGTTGCGTGCCTTGTGGGTTTTCAGCCTTAAGTGTCGTGCTGCCACGTAATAATTCCGTGGCATGTATTGATCGACCGGTGGATCACTACACGAATTCTATTCACAATAATGGCCTCGTTTTCGTGTCTAACCCATTTGTGTGAGGAAAAAAAGAAAATGATGGGCAAAAACCACTGGCCCAATCTTGACAGAAACGACATGCTAATAATCATTTGGACTTGTAACGCGCGGCACAGCATTCACTTGCCATCGGAGATGGAGAACGACTCGGGGGAGGTGTGAGGAGGAGGAGCCACCACAGATGGGCGGGAAGGCAGCCCCGCGGTGAGGCGACACGACCAGCAATCGTCCAGGCTCTGTCCTCTATATACGAGGATGTTTTCAGCTAATTAATGAGCGTTTATACATGTGGGAGAAACCCCCACCCGTGCAAGGGTGTACCGCTGTCCAATACAGATGGCACCACGTTGGCAGGTTTTTAACTGGCATACAGGAGGTCGTGGGTTCGATCCCAACCGTGACGCCTGCTGTATATTTGCAGTTTGCATTCCCGTGGTCGTGTGGATTTTTCTCAAGGTCCTCCGGTTTTCCCCTCCACATTTCGAATCAACGTTCGTTTAGAGCATCTGGCTGCTATAAATTTCCGCGTGATCAGCCACTTCGTTGAGCTGACATTTGGTTAGCTCAAGTGGGCCTTACCTGGGTGTGGGACATCGACGCCCATGGGACGGGAGTTTCCCAACAGTTGTGCGCTCCGCCAACCCTCGCCGCCACTGCTGCGTCATAGGCATGGGCCATCGCCGCCTCTGTTTACTAACGAATGAAGAAGGGCAGATGCCCAAAACATTACATGTTTCAATATTATCCTTTTGAGGCCACAGTGTTATTGACGAACTTGTTGAGTTTTGCAACGACACATTTTTCAAATATATATACAGCAAATCCTGCGTGCAGAATTCGTGAAAGTAATCTTGCAGAGGATTTATTTTTTGTAAGGCCTAATTTTTGGTGGCGGAATGCTCCGGAACGCCGCGGTGGGAGTGAACATTTGAACCTTGTGACTGCGTTCCTGAACGAATCAAGGATGCATTTATTTATTTCACTCGCAGATAGAACCCGAGATTGGCAGATAACCACAGGCACGCACAGAAACCCACAGACACGCATAGATAGATACCTACAGACACGCAGACGCAAAGACAAAGATCCTCTGTATAGCCTTATTAGACTTGGGGCAAGTGTTAGCGAGCACCTATGAAGGCCGGCACGGCACACGAGGGGGTGGGTGGCCAGCGCCATGCTCGGCCGCCTTTGTCTTCCTAGTGGCGATGTTTACACACCGCACTCGGTCCTCATTTGAGGCTGAGTCGACCTAGGGGAGGCCCATAACCAGTTCAGATAATCCTCACTGGGTGTTGACCGTGGACGGGAATCGAACTCGGGTCGCCGGGTTCGTAGCGCAGCGCGCTAACCACTACACTACCGCTCCCCACACGCACAGAGACACAAGACACGCACAGAGACCCACACATGGAGCGAAGCTCCTGCCCCCCATCCGATCTAGTGGGGGTTGGGCGGAATAACGTACGAGTTCCCCCCCTCCCCAGTCATTTCTTCCCATTCCCAGCACTGGTGTCACAGACACATTGCTGTGGGTGGGGGGGACCCACTCCAGTCCATCTTTGACGTGCAATAATGCAGTACTACAGCGTTCCTGTGTGCGCAAATATCTTCAAACGATCTCGCGTTGCAGAGAACAAATGATGGAAACTCGCGATCAACGAGAGCGCGTGTTTGGTGATGGAACGCTTCGCGTCACGCATAGCTCAGCGCTGGCGCGCGCGAGTGCACGGTTCGCGAGGATTTGCGAGCGTTTTAGAAAAAAAAAAGCAGCCAAAAGCGGTTCTGACATTGCCGATGAATGCAGATATAAGAACCCGTGTCATTTCAGTGAAATATTGAGAAATATCGAGGAGGCATTGCCCTATTGCTGCGTCTTCGAAACCAAAACCAATTATTTGGCGATGCTGCTGCTGCTACTGGCAGCGGTGCACAGGCACAAACAAAAACAACACGATCGTAAACGAGCAAACAATATTTGACAGGTAACGTTTCGGGCCAATGGCCCTTCGAAATTGCACATTTGTGCTGCATTGTTTTTGCGGTGTCTCGCGTGTTTTTGCCAAGCGCCACTCTGTGGCCCCCGTTTGAGCGGCAGAGGGCGCTAGAGGCTCGGATGCTCAAAACACGCAGCTGTTGTGACCACGCAAAGACAAAGATCCCCCGTGTAGCTGTAGGCCACGATTGGGGCAAGTGCTTGGAACGCCGATACAGCACACCAGCGGGTGGGGTGGCCGGCCAGCGCCACGCCCGGCCGCCCTCGTCTCCCTAGCGGTGATGTTTTGTACGCCCAGCACAAACTACTGTACTCACAGGAGAGCCCCAGGACCGGTTCAGATATTGGTGTTGGCCGTGAGCGGGAATCGAACTCGGGTTGCCGGGTTCGAAGCGCGGCGCGCACGACCGGACCTCTGTAATCACACGCGGGTTATAACGGCACACGGGTTAAAGCCACACAGCTGTTATGCTCGAACCGATGACAGAATAACAAGCAATGCGCCCGATCGCGTCAGCTAAGCAGGAAGCCACTGGAGCTATGCACTTTTAAATCTCGATTGAACACTCGTTCATTTAGAACGACTTATTGTGTTTAGTGTATTGCCCTCCCCCCGCACGCCTAATTAGCACGGTTGGCTACATGCAGTGCGAAAGCAGTTCAACATTCATGCCAAAGTTGGGCCAAAGCTTTCCTGGGATGGACCTGATCACCCGAGTTCCATTCCCGGCCACGGC